CCCCAAAACCCCAAAACCCCAAAACCCCAAAACCCCTGGTTGCGTGATGATAATTGAGTACTTAATTCGAGTTTTTAGGAGAAAAATAAATATTAATTTAATGAACAGAGACAAATCTGCAAAGAATGGGACCAGAAGCCAAGCTTATGCTCCCTTATTGGATGGAGAAAGGACCCATATAGAGAGTGCAGAGGATGAAGGCCCCACACTTTTTGATAAGAATCCTTTTGAGCATAGTTGGCTCATATCCAAGATCTTCTTCAGCTGGGTCACTCCATTAGCAAGAGTAGGTTGGCTATCTCTTAGAAGAGCGTGATAAGTGTTTTCCATCTTATTGAGCACCAAATTTCAGCTTAATGCTTCATTTTAGATATTTTCCAGAAATTTCCGGAAATTCTGATGAACATTCCTGATATTTTCGGTTTTTTTGGGTGGCGTTGCGATCTAGTAGCTGTGACGTTCAATTTTACTGCATTAATTGGTGATTTTCTATGATTCCTAACCTCAATATATAGTACGGAAGGACTCATCACTTGAGTGCTAGGGACTTAGAACCTTCATTACAGAAGTTGAATGCGGAGCATCTCCATGACGACTTCGTCAAGAATTGGGATGAGGTGCCTCATGATCATAAAAATGCAATTTTTAAAGCACTGATAAAGACATACAAGAGGGACTTCTTATATGCAATGGTGATCAATTTCTTCCAAGTATGAGTAGACATCTCAGTACCCTTCATGCTTTATGCAATTATTGAGTTTATGAGTGCAGAGCCTGACGAAGGCCATGGTATTGGTTATGGTATCTTCCTGATCGTTACGTACCTTTTAATTGATCTCCTGGCAAAATTACTTTCTCAGCAAGGTAACTACACCCAAGGTATATTAGGAGCCAAGGCTTATACAGGACTATGTGCATTGACTTACAATAAGATACTTAGATGTAGTTCTGCTACGAACAAGTCATTCGCTCAAGCAGAGATCATCAATTTTATCCAGGTGGATGCACAGAAGATTATGTATCTTGCTTGGGTACTCCCTGTTGTAGCAAGGTTACCCATACAACTTATATTTGCGATTACGTACCTGTTCTACTTCTTCGGAGTCAGTCTACTAGGAGCCTTTGGCATCGCCTTTGTTGTCGTCATTCTTAACTTCTTCATTGCTGTAATTGGTCAGAAGATCCAAAAAGTTGTGTTGTTCAGGAAAGATGAAAGAATGAGGTTCACAACAGAGCTGATCAATAACATTAAGATCATCAAACTTAATGGCTGGGTCAAATATTTCTTGTAAGGAATTTTTAATCCCTTTAGAGACAAGGTAAATAATTCCAGAGCGAAAGAAATTAAAGCTATCATATGGGGATTCTTAGTATTTGCAGTCAATGTCTTCTCGATGTTTATTTTAAGTCCCTTGCTAGTCTTGGTTACATTTGCTATCTTCTTTGGAACAGGCCATACAATGACATTAGCTCAAGGATTTGCATCTTTACAAGTACTAGGACAGCTGAATATGCCACTCAGATGGATCCCCCAATTCATTGGTGTTTTCATGCAATTTACAGTCTCAATGAGGAGAATCCAAAAGTTCCTGATCTGTGATGAAATAAATCCCGCAATAGTTGAGCAGAACAATCCAGAATGAATGCAAAAAGGTATTGACATCCTTATCGAGAATGCTAACTTCACATGGGGTGGACAGAAGAAAGAAGAATCTAAAGACTCTAAAGAAAAGAAAGACAATAGCAAGAAGGGCTCCCCTAAACCTTCTCACAATATTAATTCGGATAACAGCAGCGAAAGTGAAGATCTTGACTCTGCTTCGACTACATCTGATTCTGATAAGGATGAGAAGGCTGCAAAAGTTGACGAAGGCATTCAGATCAAAGATCTCAATCTTAAAATTCAAAGAGGAGAGTTCATCTGTGTCATTGGAGGTGTAGGATCTGGAAAATCTTCCCTCATCAGTGCACTTTTAGGCGACATGATTTACATCTCAGATGAGACTATCCAAGAATTTGAGGGGAAACTCTTTGAAGACGCCAGGCATGAAATCATTGAAAGGGCAAATAAAGAGAGAAATGTCATCAAGCTTGGAGGTTCTGTGAGCTATGTCCAGCAACAGCCTTGGATCCAGAACAAAACTATTAGAGATAATATCTTATTTGGCCTTCCAATGGATGAAGATAGATATAATCAAACCATTGAGCTTTGAGAGCTAGCTAATGACTTAGAAATCCTTCCTGGAGGAGACTTGACTGAGATCGGAGAAAAAGGAATAAACCTCAGCGGAGGACAAAAGGCTAGGGTAAGCCTAGCCAGAGCAGTCTATGCCAACTCAGATATAATTCTCATGGATGACCCAATTTCAGCTCTTGACTCTAATGTGAAAAAGAGCATCTTTAAAAACTTGTTCTGAGGTGAACTCAGAGGAAAGACCAGAGTACTCGTCACCCATGCAGTAGAGTTCCTCGACCAAGTTGACAGAATCATCGTCATGGAGAAAGGAAAGATTAAGTACAATGGAACTTATGAAGAGATTGAACACAGTGATGAGATCCAAGATATCCTAAAATCCTTAGCTAAAACTGCAAAGAAAGATAAGGAAGAAGATAAATCTGAAGCGAATGGAAAAACTGAGATTAATGGAGAAGAATCTACAGAAACACTTAAGAAGAGCTTCATTAGCGAGAAAGGAACAAGCATCACTGAGGATGAGAACAAGGAAAAGATCACAGTGGGATGGAAAGTTTATTTCAGCTTCTTTTTTAAGAACTACTCCTGGCTATTTTACCTTCTCTTCATCATTCTTTCAATGCTATCCTCATTTGCATCAGTTCAGAATGGAATCTATACAGGAAAATTCATTGACCCAAGAAGGAAGCCAGATGATTTTTGGAGGATGTTCATGATTACTTTGCTATTTGCTATTGGCTTTGCAGTTTTGATCACACTAGTAGGTACTGGTATTTCCTTGGCAACAGTAAGGTTAACTAAAAATTTACATATTGATATGTTGAAGAAGACAGCAAATGCTCCAGTGAATCTCTATTTTGACAAAACCCCTTCAGGGAGAATCCTCAATAGGTACTCAAGTGATATAAATAAGCTGGATAATGGAATAGATCAGTAAGAAGCATGCTAATATTTTTAGGAAAGTAGGATGGGTAATTAATTGTTTCACCTTGGTCTGATTCGACATCTACGTTGCAGCTCTAAACACCCCATTTGTGCTCATAATTATTCCATTTTTGTTGATTGCAATGATAATCTTGATGAAATTTTACATCAAGACTTACAGAGAAGTCAATAGGCTAGGAAGCGTAGCTCATTCCCCTCTGATGAATAACCTTGGAGAGACTATTAATGGAGCAACTACAATCAGATCATTCATTCGGGAAGAAGATTTTAAGGCAACCAACTACAAAGCGCTGAATGTGGTTACTAACGTTGGGTTTTGGAAAGAATCTCTCAAGAGCTGGTTTACCATAAGAACTGAGTTCATCTCCCTCTGTATTCTTGGCTTCACGACTATTTTCATGGTACCTTTGTTTTTATAATCTATAGCTGTTCTACAGAGATAATGTTAACCCTGTCTTGATTGGTGTCCTCTTCAATAGATTCATTCTCTTCAATATGATGCTACTATTCTCATGCCAACTTTTGTCAGACTTAGAAGGCGATCTTGTTAGTTATGATAGATGCCTTAAGATGCTGGAGATACCACAAGAGGCTGCACAGAGGAAGGAAATGGGTCAGTTAGTCAATTGGCCATCCCAAGGCCAAATTGAATTCGAGGACTACAGCTTGAAGTATAGACCAGACACAGAACTTGTCCTTAAAAATCTCAATTTCAGCATTAAACCAAGGGAGAAGATAGGTATTGTAGGCAGAACCGGGGCTGGAAAATCAACTATCTGTCTGGCTCTTTGTAGAATTGTCGAAGCTTATGAAGGAAAAATCATGATTGACGGAGTGGATATTTCTACACTTGGTATCGCAGATTTAAGAGAGAGGATAACCATTATTCCACAAGACCCAACTCTTTTTGAAGGAACTTTGAGATTCAACTTGGATCCTGTAGGCACTATTCCTGATCATGAGTTATTAAGCATGGCTAAAAAGGCCAATCTAGAAGACTTCATCAATAGAGATGATAAAGGGCTTGACCAAAGAATCGAAGATGGTGGCAAGAATCTCAGTTCTGGAGAAAAACAATTGATATGCATCTTGAGAGCAATTCTGAGAAAAAACAAAATCGTTCTGATGGATGAAGCTACTGCTAATATTGACATTAAGACAGAGCAGACAATTCAGAAGTTGATCCATGAAGAGTTTGAGGACTCTACAGTGCTCACCATTGCTCATCGACTGAATACGATTATAAATAGTGACAGAGTACTCGTCTTGAGTAAAGGAGAGGTTGAGGAATTTGATGATCCCCAAAGATTACTTGATGATCAAAATTCAATGTTCTACTCCTATGCAAATGAACTTAAGAAGGAAGAAGATAAGTAGTCTCTAATATTCCATAATTCAGCCATTTTAAATTTATTAGGGGTTTTGGGGTTTTGGGGTTTTGGGGTTTTGGGGTTTTGGGG